TACCTAACCCCTTCAGGCGGTCTAAGAGGATGCCATGATCTATTGTGTTGAAAGCCGCTGAAAGGTCTAGGAGCACCAACAGGGTCACACTACCTCTGTCGATGCTCAGACACAGATCGTCAGTAAAGGCAACCATGGCAGTCTCAAACCCAAAGCCTGTCTTGAAGCCGATTTGAAATGGGTCTAGATAATCGGTTTCATCCAAGACAGCTTGGAGTTGAAGAACAAACGCCCTCTCGAGCAACTTGCTCAAGAATGGTAACAAAGAGACTGGCCTATAGTTGTTTATATCCAGGGGGTCCAGGGAAGGTTTTTTCAGAAGTGGCCTAACAGCCGCTTCCTTTAAGCAAGATGGAACATGTCCTTCCCTGAAGGATGCATTGATGATACCCGTAAGGAATCTCCTCAATACATGATGGGCAAGGGTCGAGAGGGCATGTCGTTTTCCTCACCTTACCAAGGAGCTTGTCCACGTCCTTGGTACTCACAGATTGGAGCTGATCCAGGATAACTTCATCGAGGGAGTTGCTGGATACCTCATCTATAGTCTCTGCCACAACAGTGGCGTCAAAGTCAGCTCTTATCTGAGAGATTTTATCTGCAAAGAAGTTATTAAGTGTATCACAGCAGGCTGTTGTCAGGTTAAGCAAGGGGTTTGGCGCAGGAGGAACCTGCGTCAGCTCCCTTACCACCCTGAACAGCTCTGCTGGACGAGACTCTGCAGACGCAATACATGCAGAACAGAAGAATCTCTGTGCTGCATGTAAAGCCTCCCTGTAGGAATCAAGATGATTCCTAAGGTGAGTTCTGTCAGATAGGAGCCGAGTCTTCTGCCACTTGTGCTCTAGTCGTTGTCCTACCCGCTTCATTCTCCTAAGCCCTGGTGTATACCATGGCCTTCGGTTCGAAGAGGGTTGGCAAGGACGCTCGGGAGCAATCGTGTTGATAGCCCTGGTAAGGTCGGTGTTCCAAGTATTAACCAGAGCGTCGACAGGGTCACCGGCAGAAGCCTGCACAAGGGTGTAGGTATGGGGAGGGGACAAAATGAATTCTGCTCACACTCACCCCTGAGAAATCTTCCTTCAATCTCTAAATTTCTAGGGCTGCAGTGACTTAAAACTTCAGTTGAGTATTTAGAAATGCACAGCAAATATAACAAAATCCAAAATTCACAAAAGAGTAATAACGTATTTATCAACCAAAATGCAGAAAGATCTGGACAGTGAAGAAAGCAGACAAAAAGAAAATCAATTCATTTGAGATGTGGTGCTGGAGAAGAGTGCTAACAATATTGTGGACAGCCAAAAAGACAAACAAATGGGCCCTTGAACAGATCAAGCCTAAAATCTCCCTAGAAGCCAAGATGATCAAACTGAGCTTTTGTACTTTGGCCACATTATGAGAAGGCACAAATAATTGGTAAAGATTATAATGCTAGGAAAGGGGAAGGGGAATAGAAAGAGAGGGGTTCCACTTGCTAGATGGATAGACTCAATTAAGGAGGTCACAAGTATGAATTTGCAGGATGTGAGCAAAGCAGTGGAGGACAAGAGGTATTAGATGATGTCTCTCATCATCATGAGTTGTGGTCTACTTAAAGGCAGTTAACAACAACAGACATCATGCAAGCTTTCAAAGCTTCACTGTCTTCTTCATTGAGCAAAACATGTTTTTAAAAATATTGTAAGAGAAGACAAGTGATAATGGTCTTCTTTAAGAGGGGCAGCTGACAACCCTTTTTTAGTGGTAGTAGTGAATCCCCTCTTGAGTTTCTGCAATGTCTTTTTGATGCTTCTTGTTGACTTCTGGGGCTCGAATTCTCCTTGGTGGAGTTTCCAAACATTTAAGAGAAAGCAGAGAAAGAATATTAATAATTATTAATTCCCAGATCCAAACAACAACAAAACCACATTTCCTGACAGTCAAACCACATGGGGCGGGGGGGGGGGGGAAGACCCATAACAGTTTTGTTCATTTTTCACCTAGCATTAGAACATTCCAAAGTATTG